CCCCGCCCCCAGGCCGCAGCGGTTCCTCGATGTAATCGCGGCAGAAGCGCGGCGGGGGGAGCGCGGCCGGACACCCTGCCTCGCCGCTCTGCATGGGCGGCCGCAGCCGCTCTTGAGGAAGGCCCCGCTTCCCCTTTTGAAAAGCGCTCGCTTCCCCTGGGCCCGCGGCAGCTCTGCGGCCCAAACCCACCATATTTGCGTGAAATATATGTGTGCATTTGTATAAAATATAGCCTGTGTACTGTTAACTCTCCTGTCTGAGAGTCCTACCCTTCTCTGTAGTGTATAGACACCAAAATACACTATGTTTAAAGCACCCTGCCCAGGGCGTCTGCCCCGTTGCAGGTAGGAGGACATCAGTAGCCTTGGTTGGGCAAGGACGTGATAGCTTTCAGCATAAGCCGAAATGGCACTCGCTAGGAGGAAATAGATAAATAAAGTAGCCCCTGCTTCAAAGGGGACTTTCAGCTGCTTTTACAGACCCAGGAGGCCAGCTATGGGGTTGGAGCACCCATGGTTTCATGCAGTGCCTTCCTGTGTTGCCTAGCTGGAGTGTGTTTCCACAGGTGATGAGGTTTAAGCACGTTAAAATATCATTGTAGCTGCTGGATCTTAACATAGAATAGCAGGGCCAGTGTGCATGCCAGTGAGTAGCTAGTTGTGCTGTAAGCGAGGCGGGATGGACTGAGGGTGCTCCAGGAGCCCTTCTTGGTTTACTTGAGTGCTCTTGTCATTGTTACGGCCACCACAACTGCACTTTTGCTACCAACCACGGGAGCTTTTCATAAACAAAGTCATTAGAAATAATAAGAGGACCAGGCCTAGTCTTGGCCTCCAGGTGCATCTGTTGCTGATAGAGTGGGTGATCAACTTCTGCAGTTCCAGGAACAGACACCTCTTAATTAAAATCAAAATTATTGACGGTGTAATTAAAATTTTGGCCTTCCTAGATTTCAAAGATTGTTGCTCATCAGCCTGGGCCAGCAGGATATACCGATGTTTTAAGTGGAGATATCTCTGACAATGAGCATTAATGCCTGTAAGTCCTAAGCAGCATTTTTGAAAAGGTATTTTGTACAACCATGAAGGGAAGCAGGAGAGATCCCTGGAAAGAAGCACCTGAAAGAAGCACCATGTTGTATTCATTATGAGTTCAAGCAATCTGTCCATCTTCCTCCCCCCCCCCCCCCCCCCTTTTTTTTTAATTTGAAAGCAGGATTACCAAAAATACCAAAATACACAGCTGCTACCATACTCTCATTCTTTGTAAAATAAGATTATGTTTGTTTAAACAGAATTAGAGCATGATGAATCACATATCACTACTAAGCAACTATCTGTTGCATGTAAAAACATGTAGCTGTGGAAAATGAGTGGGTAATCCTATAATATCACATATTGACACCAACAAAAAAGAAAAAAATCAGCAAAAGATGATCTCCACATATGAGTTATTAGGGAAAAAACTCTCGAGCTCTGACATAGCTATTTTAATGCCTTTACTAACTTTTATACTAGAAAACTCTGTTGGCTCTTCATAATCCCCTTCTGCTTTCCTTTCTTAAAGGTAAAAACATGGTAAACAAAGAATGCTAATTTCTTAAAGGCATTACATACAATTCAACAGTTATTCTTGTATTTTAATCAATTTCTTCAGCCTAGAAATAAAATGACTGAAAGCAAAATTTTCTGCTAGACATAAATGGGTTAATTTCTCCCACCTGCAGCATTTCCTCCAAAGCAAGCACCAAGTTTATTTTAACAGTCAAATTCCCAAAGATTAGGTCAGCTGGAGGAAAGGAGGATTTGCTGTGACAAAGGACTTAATAGTATTATCTTTTTTTAAAAAAAATAAATTTAAAGGTAAGTTTCTTTGAGAATTATTTTGGTAGCTAAATTTAATGACTATTTTAGCTTTCCAATAAATTGGCTTTACTATAGGTTATTTTATTTTAAAAACCATGAAAAATATACTGAAAATATGATGAAAAATGCTGGCTTTAGAAAAAAATGGGCCCTTTTTTTTTTTTTCCAAGGTAAATTTCTCCTGTTACCTTCTGAGTGATTCATCTAGCTATCCAAGGGGTATAGTTCACTTTCTGAGCTCTTAAAATAGATTTTTGTAATGCTTTTATTCCCTGCTCACTTTCCTTCAGTAGTTGCCTTAAAAGGACTTAAATTCTTTTAGTTACTGCCTGATTACCTCATTTCATATCACAAATGTCTTTTGCTGAGGGAGATGTTGATCCTTTTTCTTCAGAGAGAAA